GTTAATGATCTGATTTTCATATGCCAATCTTTCTTCTCAAATTATTGGAGAGGTAAAAATTCTCAGGGTATTCCTCGCTTATAAAAACAGCTAAAGATTCATTATTCAATGCAGAGGACGGTTGAAAATAAGTATAATTAATTGACAATTTTAGCAGGAGAAATAAGAAGAATCGTGGGGCTTACGACTTTACAGACATAATTACTTGCATTCAAAGTTCAATAAAAAAAATTGGAGACAACGAAAAAATTTTTATATTTAAAAAAGAATATTTGTAAAAGAACTGGCCACATGTTTACTAGCTCAACTTAGATCCTCTCATACGGCTAGTGATATGTAGGCAATGATTATGCAAGAGTAATAAAATAAAATTGGTAAGTGGTTGACTTTCAATCTAAAATACGAGATCCTTTGCAATTGTTCTCTTAGTCTTTCTTTCAATTTTTAGAACGATCGGCTAAAATGGGGATGAAAAAACGAAGGATAGCTGAGGATAGGTCAGACGAAATTCCACCACCAATGCAAAAAAAAATGCGAGTTTCGGCAATAAGAATTTTTAGGGAATGCAAAATATCATATGAAACGATTGACTGTTTCTAATTGGTAGCATAGATTCCAGACAGGACATTTTTCCGTAGAAGACTAGCCCCTAGAAGGTCTACCACAATCTTCCACTGATGATATCACTGTAGCTCTGTGACAAAAATAAGAATACATTGCTAATGAATTGGACTTGAATGCCATTACTGTATTGCGAATATTAAGTAATCATCTGGAATGCACGAAGAAATCTGCTCTAGGGTTATCACGAAATTTAAATGAGAACCAAAAAGATGCTCGAGGGTATTTTGTTCAATTTTTGCTAAACAAATTCGAAAACGATCAGTCTAGTAACTTTAACGAAGTGGTTGCTGGTGACAAATCTTGGTTCTATATGCACGATCGAGAAACCAAACAGCGTCCCAAAAGGAGCCCAAAAGGAACAAACACAACCTTAAAATCAAAGCAACAAAAATCAACAGCAAAAGTAATGAAGTCAGTTTAGTTCACCCTTTCTAAAATGGTAGCTGCTATTCCACTGGGAAAGGGTCAGACGGTAGCTGCGAAATGGTACACCGAAGAGTGTTTACCACAATTTTTCAAAAATATGTGGGAAAACGGGAAGAAAGAAGATTTGCGACGCTACTTTTTACATCATGACAACGCGTCATGTCACACTGCTAAAATAGGAAGTAATTTTATGGTGATCTCTCTCTCGGATATATCATCTGGTGATATTTGTTTATTTTCTTATATAAAAAAGCTTAAAGGGAAAGGTCTTTAATAGCAACGAGGAGATAATTAATGCAGTTGATGCCAAACTAGATAAGCTTAAAAAGCAAGACTTTGAAGGGTATTAAATAAAAATATTAGCTCAAACTTGGATACTTGCTGAATGTATTAGCATAGCTCGCCAACGAAACGCCATATACGGGTAAAAGTCTTATTGCGCACTTGCGATGTCGTTTAGTAAAACACGAGCCATAGTTGACTCACAACAAATTGGTGACGCGACATGAGTTGATCCAATAGCACACTACTGAGGAGTACCTATTGGACTACTTTCACAGACCATATGGTCCAAAACTGTTTGCAGAGAGAGAGAAGAAGAACTGGGTATTTTGACTTATACTTAATAAGGGTTTTTTTAATCGTTCTTAATCGTTCTTGGCGACACCAAAGTCTGAACAACGTGTGTCAGGGTCTGGTAGAAACCCATATATTATTATGATAGAATATTTAAGTCCTTTTAAAATACAACAAACGTTTGAATTGAAATGTCAGCAAATTGAAAAAGTTACTTTTCTAATTTTAATTTTTTTTACTATCAGAGAAAATTAATTAGTTTTAGAAACATATGGAGAAATTATTAAAATTAAAAACAAACAATATTTGGAGCCTTTTGATTTTTGGATATTTTTATTAAATACTTAATAGTATATTTTTCATGAAGCTCAATTTATATCTAATAACGTCTAATGAGTGAATTTGAAGTAAAAAATTTATAAAAAACATTACCGACTTAGTTGTCTGACCATTTTTATATTCATACTGCTGGAATTACTATGAATGTATGTACATAAGCTTTCGAAGGCAACGAATGAAAGATTGAAATTTGTTTTAAAAATATTTTTAAAAATACCTTTTTTATTAAAGACTAAAGAGTTAAAAGCTAAAAATATTTTCAATTTCAAAAAAAAAAAAACAATAATTTCATTAATTATTACATAAATTATTTTTTTTTTTAATTTTAACTTTATTTAAACATATTTTTTTTTTTGTAAATTTGGTGTCAACTTCCAAATGAAATTTTGGTTATAAAATTATACATTGGGAATGTGTGTTATTACTCATGTATGTATTTCCATATATTTATTATGCTTATTTAATATTTTTATTATATTGTCACTTTTCTTTCGTCTGTTGTGTAAATATTTTAAGCATTCGTTTAAATATTCACTTACAATGTATAACGGTATTTTGTGTGAATCAAATCCGACACTCGATAATTGAAATTCTTCGCCTTGGTCTACTTACATAAAATTGTTGGCATAACAGACATAACTAAGTGATATAAATATCTCAATGTACATACATATCTCTTATGTATGTATATACCTACATATGCATGTATGTATGCACATAAAATTGAATTTCTTTACTTATCTCTTTATTTACATATTCCACATGCCGTTTTATTGTTTATATACAAAGCCAAACTCTGCATGTTTGCATAAATTCCTGAAAACAAAATATTTTGAACCCAAGCGCATACACACACACACATGCGCACACACGCACATAGCTTTGTATTGTCTGTTGACCATTTTATATGTATCCGTAAGTGTGCACGACACGAAATTCCATAATCTGTATCCTTTTTTACACTCACGTTTTCGTACATGAGTTGGGTTGACAATTTGGTAGTGCACATATGTGAACATACATATTTGTGTAGTTGTTAAAAAGTGGAGTGAGAGGTTTTTTAAACAAAAATACATGGCTTTTTTGCATATGTACATACATATGCGTGTTATATATGGTATATAGTATATAGTATATACATATCGCGTTAATGTAGCTATCGCGCATGCATGTCCCAGTATTTCGTAGACAAAAGCATATCATCGTAAATTTTTGTGTTTGCCATCAAACATTACTTTTCGGTTTGTTGTTATCTCAATTTCGTGGTTCACTTTGTCACAATTGGATTTTGCTATTGCTGCAGTTTTTCATTGGCGAACACTTTGAAGGATTACCAATTTTATTTATCGTTGGTGTAGGTATGTAATTTATTATATTTTTCATTGTAGGATAGTTCAGTTGGTAAAGCCAAAATTTTCCTTGTAATGAAAAATACAACTTTAAATATATTTTTCAATTTTTTGTTTATAATTTATTTTGATTACTTTATCAATAATTTATTTTATTCATTAAAGTTGAGAGGAAACTAAAATAAAACAAAATAAATTCCATATATTGTTAAACTGGTTGAGTAAAAAGGCCCCATTTGATCGCTGAATGGCGTTTGAGAGATGATATTTAGTACTAAAAAAGATAATGGGCGAAGTGTTTGTTGATCAGTTAACTCAGTAGTGTTTGAGCGCATGCCAAAGGTGGTGCAAAAATCGTCAATAATGTACAATTTCGGTTTTATGGATTTCGTTTCGGTAATTTTAATGTAAAATATGATACACAGTGTGGCAGACCAATTGCCGAAAATGTCGATAAAATAATGGAAACGGTTGAGTGCGACCATTATATGAATGAAAGAAGCCATACATTTTACAAAAAAGAATGAGAAAACAGTTTGAAACCTCTTAAAAAAGTCTGGATATACAAAGTTGCTCATTATATGGGTGCAACAAGAGTTAATAAGAAAAAAGCTCGTGCACCGAAATTCCATTTGCGAATAGCTGCTGAATTGTAACAAAGTCAACCTACTTTTAAAGCGTATACTCACAGCAATACAATTAAATAAAAACGGTCACGGGTGAAGAGCAGTGAGCCGATACAAACGATCTCCAAACCATGACTGACGACCACAAAGTTTTTATGGTGTATTTGGTGGGGTAGCCAAGGAATCATTAACTATGAACTGCTTCCTGCAAGCCAAGCTCTTCATTTTGATTTCTGCTGTAAGCAATTGAACCGCCTGAAGCAAAAGATGGCACAGAAACGCCAATCTATTGTCAATAGGAAAGAAATTGTGTTTCATTGGGATAACGCTAGAACGCTTCAAAAGCCTCTTAGGAGCTTCTTATAATTTAGCTGGTAAAAAACTGGCCTAAAGAGAGTCCGAAGAAAATCGATTGCCTAAATTTTTGACAACAGAGGCAGGGGTTTCAACGAGAGGGATATGGTGATATATAGAGTTCAATTTAAAATAAAAATAATGGATTAATTTTTTCTTTACTTGCGGCGGCCGCAATAGGCAAGTGCTTCGACCAACATCACAGTTTATTGAAAATTAGTCTTTCTAGTTGCAGTCGACTCTCGGGAGGGAGTGTTCAGCCATCTGAGTGTATATCTGACATGATATAAAGGCTGCTCATAAAAATTCTTAGGCCGTTTTATATATAAACATATATATTATAACCAAATTATTCGAGAAATGAAATAAGTTAAAAATCAAAAATGAGAGTTTGTTTTAGGTATGAATGGGTAGAATTGTAAATAATTTTTCGATGAGACAAGTTTGTTCCAACAAAAAAATAAACTATTTAAATGTGAATTTTTATTTGTAGAGAAAAATTTTTTTTAAAGATTTCCTAAATAAAATGCGAAACGTCGATTCATAAAGCTGGCGTAATTTATTATAGAACAAAATTAGTTTTGTGATAACAGTAAAAGTATTACGAAAATAATGTCAAATCTAAAATTAGTCGGTCAAAATAAAAATTAAAAAAATGGTAATAAATGTGTGTATTAAATTATTTCACTGATTTTGTAATTTCTAGTCAACTGTAGTTGCAATGCCGACGTAGTTCAATTTCAGAAATGAATATTAACTTAATTACCTAATTAAAAATTTCGCAACAGAATGTGAGTGAAAAAATTTAAAATCAAAATGCATTCGACAAATATCAATCACTTCCAGTACATATCAAATCAACATAATCCACCAACCCGAAAGCTAACATAACCAAAGTTGAAAAAAACAACCGAAATCCACAATAATTACATTCAAGCATATCACAAATCATATGCACAACTGAGAAGCAGAAAACATCAGTGCACCAAAATCAGACGTCAATAAGAAGAAGCAACAACATACATAATTACGCGGTCACAATTTAGTTGGCTAATATTTCTTAATCGCAAAACAACGGAAACGCAGCTGCTAAAATGTTCATAATTACGGTCATTAAGTTGCTGCTAATTGCGCTGAACCTCTTTCCCAGCCGCTGGACAAATCGGAAAGTGATGTTCCTCATCTATTTAACGAATTTGGTGACACATGGTGAGTGTTTGAAGTGGCAATTTGATGTGAAATGAATTTTTTTTAGAATTTTTAATTTTTTCTCTGTATCAATTTTCTAGCATGGAAATATTTTTCCGCCCTAATTGCGTGAGCCATTATATTTTTTTGAGGACCTTTTACTACTTAACTAACATGCGATTATTTTTTGAGAGTATCAACTTTTGTTGAACAAAAAAAAAAAAAAAAATAAAAATCATTTATAAATGAAGCAGAGAATTATTTTTCAAAATTTGTGTCAATAAAAACTAGCTAACTATTGTAAAACATTAAAAATAAATATTAAAATAAAATTTAAACACATTTAATCTAGAGTCGATTAAACAATCGGTATATTTAAATTGTTGATCATTTTTCAATGTAAAGATTGGTCGCGGCTCTGGAAATGGTCCATGCATCGGCTGCAATTTTTTATACTCACTCCGACATTTCGTCCAGTATCTGCGAATAAATTTTTCAACATCCCTATCTGGGAAGCTAGGTGCGTGTTTGTCTCTATAGAGATTGGCTTTAGCTTAACACTAAAAAAAATGAATCCACAGAAGCTAGACCACCGGATTTAGGCGGCCAAATGTGAAAAAATTTTTTGTCTTGACTTTCTGTTTCCATTGTTCCACTAGCTGTGTGGCGTGTAGCGCCACCCTGTTAGAACCATTAACTAAGACACTTCTTTCAATTTAGGCAACGAAACTAGCGCTCGACTATTTTTTTTAGAGCTGCCGCTAGCTCCTAAGCTCATCAGCTACAACAAACTGTAGCCTTTTCGGGACATAGTTTTGACGATGCCGCCGGTCGCTTATCACTTTAAATGCGACAATGCTGCTTGTTCAGGCATTCACTTATATAAAAATGAGCTTCGCCGTCGCTGAACAAAATTATTTGGAAAAAAAAGTTACTCTCCATCCAACTTTGCTTGTGTCCGTATATCAAAAACTAGACGTTATTTTGGCTTGTATGTGGTTTCAGTGCTTACACCAACTGATTTTACCCACCCAAATCACTCTGCAAAACTCTCACGGAATTGCATATGTCTAATTTCTAATCCATAATTCATAGTCCGCACTAGCAATGATCGTTTCTCGCCCTACATGTTGGGGGCTTAATACCAAACAAATTTTGAAATTTTGTCACAAGATTCTTAATAGCCGCCTCAGAAGTTTGTCCAAACGAGCATGAATATTTATAACGAAATTGAATAATTTGAAATCGTTGTTGTTTTATATGTCACTTCACGATTAAATTATTAACCAAATTGATCACTTGAGCTGTTGACACAAAAAAAAAAGAAAAAAAAAATTGCCAACAAATTTCACTTTGTATAAATAATTTTTATTTTCACGTTAGCCCACGTTTCAGTACTTTATTGTTGTTCAGGGCCATTAAGGGTATATTGGTATTAAACAATTTTGACACTATACTAACCTTGGCTATTATGTTGGTTATGTGATCATGTGTAAAGAGAGCTGTAAATGAGTTCTGCAAGCTCCGCTCGAAGTGGTCTGAAATTAGCGGTTATTTTCCGAAATTTTTGTTAAGCAATATACTTTGAATGAAATTATCTCTTGAATTTCACAGAATCCTTACAAAATCTCTTTGGAGCACTTCTCACCAAACTCACACTCCCGTTGCTCTGCTTGAGCAGTTGCACATCGATACTCTAGGTGATTGCACAAATTCAGTTCCTTCAAAGAAATATGGTGAGCCGGCGGGAAATTTAAGCCTGCTTAAGGTCTTAGTGAAAAAAACCAATATTAAGATTGAAATTAAGTCACTTAAATTGAAATATTTGGATGTATTCATTTCAAAGTTGTATAGTTTGATTTTTTTGACCATCTTCTTCAGAGATCCTCCCGCATAATTTCTTAATTTGTTATGTACTGGGTGTAAATGTGGCTTCAAAATACTGCAATGATGGAGTGGCCTGAGCTTCGATATAGTATTATAAAACCCAATACTTTTGGCTGGTATATCGGAGTCACTCTTCCATACTTTTCTTCTAGGGATTCAAATCATATATTGAGCAAAATTGTTCAGCAATTTTCACAAAATTAACACTTATTTCTTTAGTTTCTCAAAAGAAATTTATTTTTTTACATTTACTCACTTCCTTATATATTTCCCAACACACACCTTCCAGTGATGATGGATGAACCACGTTTTGCGCAACCCATACCAAATGTAACAGTCGCCGTAGGGCGAGATGCCAACTTGCCCTGTGTCGTAGAGCATCTTGGTGGTTATAAGGTAAATTTAAACCTAAATGTGTATGTACTTGTACGTATATGTATTTAAAAAAAAATGTGTTTCCTTTACACTCTCCATGTAGGTCGCCTGGATCCACATCGATCGTCAAATGATACTCACCATACATAGGCATGTCATCTCGCGAATACCACGCTACAGCATTACCTATGATAATGCCAACACATGGTTATTACACGTAAATCAAGCGCATCAAGATGATCGCGGTTATTATATGTGCCAAGTAAATACGAATCCAATGATAAGCCAAGTGGGCTACCTACAGGTTGTAGGTGAGTGGAAAAAAACTTTTATTAGAAACAAAAAAAAGAAAAAAAAAACCAAAATGGAATTATTCATTTAATAACTTAAAATTATAATTTACATGTTTTTTTTTAACTGAAGTTTTAACTTCAACCCTTAAATTTTTGCCTTCTCCTTTCCCACAGTGCCTCCAAATATATTAGACATCGAAAGCACACCCTCATCAGTGGCTGTGCGTGAGAATCAAAATATCAATATGACTTGCCGTGCTGACGGTTTTCCCACACCGAAAATTATTTGGCGTCGTGAAGATGGCGAGGAAATTGCCGTGGAGAAGAAGAAGAAAGGTAAATGTGAAGTGTAAATGTGAAGTTTTCCATAAGCTTTTGAATAAATTTTGAAATTTCGAAGTTTTCCTTTATTCTTTGCCGAATAGTTCTGGTCTATGACGGTGAGGTCTTGCCATTGACAAAAGTTAGCCGAAATGAGATGGGCGCTTACCTATGCATTGCCACCAATGGTGTCCCGCCATCAGTGTCAAAGCGAATTATATTGGATGTTGAATGTAAGTATATGTGTATATTTATATAGAAGTTTTCTTTTGAAGACAAGTGTTTTTTTTTTATATACAACGAATTCAAGTATCATTTTAAAGGACCATCTTGAGTCTGCTTCTTTGGCAAATTCCACTTTTAGCACATACTTTGCTGTGGACAAAGGTAAAACTGCATCGTGTGCATTTTTTATTGTAGGTAGAAGAGTTCCTCCTCTTGCTAGCTCGTCTCCCCTGTGATTGCCTGGAATGTCACTGTGCCAGCGGTCTCCGGCCACGCCACATTTTAGGCGAATTTTAGATGTGGTGATGTTACACTGTACAGATTTGGTGATATATTGACTGTAGGAATATATCGTTACTGATGGTGCTGTTACCGTAGATTTGCGCAGCAACTCGGCGAATATCTTGCTTACAAAGAGTTCTGCGTGGAAGATGTTGCGGTGGCCTTATGCCCATTTTTATTGACAGTATCGGCGGACGTGGCAGCCGAATGGTTAGCGTTGCGTACTGTTATTCGAAAGGCTCGGGTTCATATTTCGGTGCGACCAACATCCAAAAGTTTTGGAAAATTAATTTAAATAAAAAATTTACTTAAATTTTCTAATTGCGATCGCCCTTCGGCAAGGGATGTATATCTCTCCGAGTGTATTTCGGACATGAAACAAAGACTCCTTTTAAAAAACCATCAGCCGTTCGGAGGCAGCTTAGTATAGATTGTAGGTCCTTCAATTTGTTGGGAATAAATCAAGACACAAAAAACCATAAATTGAAGGATGAGCTGGGCCCCAAAAACTCGCTTCAGCGGTTACAACGCGCCAATTATGTATATATATATATTGTATATATATAAAGAAGAGTAGGTTCCACTGACCATATTTTCATCGAGCTTTGAACCGGCTTTTGTGATGACTATAACTTTCTGATCGAGGGTGTTTGTGTTTTTCCATTCATTCCTTTTTGGGATTATTGAGGAAAAAAGATCATAGGAGCATATACTAGTGTTGTTGTACATTCTTTGACATTTCTGCAAGAGGTAATATCTTAGCGTGCCCTATACTGCAGTTCTTTCAAGGTTGAGTTGCGTTCAATGTAATTGCCTTGAAGATCGCTTCTAATTTGTCACACAGATCCAAAGGAAGGAAGCTAAGAAGGGTTCATAGTGGTAACAGTTGAACTGTCTGTAGTTTGACCTTAAACATTTTGTTCGAGTGCCTGCCACTATTCAGTGACACCGCACAATAGGATTGGTCTAATCACTGCTGTATAATCGGACCTAGACGGCATCTTTTTCTTATTCCCGTTTTGTAAGCTTAAAGCGCAGTTGCAGCCTTTCTTGACCTTTTTGTCTTTTCCGGTTCGAGTTCAGTTTGCTATCTAAGATTATCCTGAGATATTTGGTTTCGTATTTTGGAGCAGGTCATTTAAAGGGATTTAGTTGTCATTGGTAAAGCAATGCCGTCAGCGTATGCATTCGCTTTGTAGACTGCATTGGTCATACACAACATCTGATATCCTATAGCAGTGATGATAAAACCCCTCAGTGGTTCCTCCCATACTGGGGTGCCTCATGTTGTGTGCCTGAGAGGCTATGTTTTATACTCAAAAAACCTTTTTTACGAGTTCAGAAAGAATGTTGCCAGAATTCTCTTTTATGTCAAGTAAATTACCAAGCGTGTACTCCTACAAGACCAACCCTTTTTCGATTCACCCGACTAAACCATGTTGTGCTGCAACCACAGACTTGACCTTAAAGTAAGCGTTGTGTTTTTCCGAGATGATGGGATAGATTTAGGCATAAATAGTGGTCGAGCAGTTCTGCTCCTTTTTGCAATAAATATTAGTCCAAGTTTGGGGGATATACTCTTCACGCAGAAAGAGTTTACACATTTTACATCGAAGTGGTGAAAAGATGTTCACAGCCTCTCAGCCTTTTGTAGTTCAGAGGCAAAGATACAAAATGTATTATTATATCAAAGATTTAAAGGGTTTGAATGACTTTATAGCTCACTCCACCCTTTAAGCGTCATAGACTGCTGTTGATATCAGATACGCGGTCACTTTACCTACGTGGAAGTTGACTGAAAGGCGGATGTATAATTGTTTACGTATATATGTATTTATATTTATTATTTATTTACAGCAAATCCATTTTAACAAAACAACTTCTTATTCTTTCTTTTAAAGTTTCGCCTATGATTTGGGTACCAAACCAACTTGTTGGCGCACCAGCTGGTACAGATGTCACAATTGATTGCCATACGGAGGCACATCCAAAGTAAGTGGAAAATATTTAGCTGTAAAATAATTACTTTGAGTGATTTGGGTTGAAATGTCTTCACTGTATATTTCTAACTTATTTATTATTCTATTTCCTCTCTGCTATTTACTAATTATATCATAAATAAATAATAGTTTTTTTGCAACAAAGGTTATAGCCTTTATTGTATATAATTTAAAGAACTTCTCTTTATTAAATTAATAAATAAAAAACTTTAATTTTTTTCAAATAAATTTAAAAAAGCTTAAATTTTGAAGCTTAAAAGTTAAAACATATAATGCAAGACCGAAATTAAACAAAAAACAATGTTTTATCGTTTTTTTCCATAAAGCACATCTCATATCTCTACGGGTTTCCATACACATATGCACTCGTTTATCGATAGTTTCCATGACTATTCTGGATAAATGTGGCTAAACTTGATTGATGTACTCAACGTCCTCCTCCTCAACTCCTCCTTTAAAGCGTGCGTGGTTGAGGGCGTTTTGCATTTGATCGGTGGTTTTAAATAAAAAGAAATCTAATGGTGTTAATTCACACGAGAGTGATGAAAGCCTGGAAATGTCTCGTGCTCTAGTTAAAGTGTTTCACGGCATATATAAAAGTCGCGTTATCGTGCAGCAGTAAAACTCACAGCTTTACCTGCAACATTTCAAAACAATTAATAAATAAATAAATAAATAAATAAATAAATAGATAAATAAATAAATAAATAAATAAATAAAAAATGAATAAAATAAATAAATAACAGTANTAAATAAATAAATAAATAAATAAATAAATAAATAAATAAATAAATAAATAAATAAATAAATAAATAAATAAATAAATAAATAAATAAATAAATGAACATTTTATGCCTCCACCCCAAGATCCACACCAAATAATGCATTTCTTTTGCGATAATCACATTTGCGTGCTCAGAAATTCAAATGTGGAAATTTTGACAATTAAAATATTCGCTTACGATGAATTTGCAACCATTTGTTGATGCTCAATAAGCCCTGTAACAAACTTTCTTCGCTGCACATGGTCACTACGCTTCAGTTATTCATTGAAGTTTCTAAGCATGAAGACACAGGTTTTTTGTAGGTATATGCTGTAGAGAGTTTTTTGAAATTTGAAATTCTAATATTCGCTGCCGAATTGAGGTTCTCGGATCGTCACCTACACTCTCGCGCACTGCTTCGATACTGTCATTTGAACGACTTTTTTTTTGGGACGGAACTTTTCATATTCATAGTTGACGAAGTTAAAACACTATTTTGACCATGTTTTGTATGAATTTTTCAAACTACGGCCGCCAAGCTTTCATTGTTTTTGAAATACAGTATAATAATGAACACACGTTGTTCTATCTTTCTAAACTTTCAGTTGTCGATTTTTATTTTAGGGTTGCCAATACTTTGCGTTTTTTGGGACACCCTAACAAATCAAAGGTTTCATATCCCCAAACATTTATATAATTTATATATTAATACTTGTTTATCATCATTATATGTACAAGAAGGCATAGGACTCTGCACATTTTTCTTTAAAACGTTTTGTTTAAAATGAAGTTTAATACTTTATTTTTAAAATTATTTGAAAAAACTGAAAAATAGGTTTGAAAGCAAAAGCATAATATTGCTGTAAAAAAAAGATAAAAAAATAACAAGAAGAGGCAATATTATATTGATTTCTTACTTGAATCGAAAATACAATATAATTATTTTCAGGCGCCTAAGCATTTTTTTTTTTTTTTTGAAAATAACATGAGAAATAATTAAGAAATATCAGCATCTTTAAAGGTGAAATAAATAAGATTTTCTGACAAAAATTATTTAGTGCCTATTTTTTTTACTGCGTGAAACTATTTTCTCATTTTTTTCTATTTTTTAATATAATTAATTTTATACTTATACGACATATATACTATAAATATATTTAACTTTTTTCCTTTTCACAGAGCAATTATTTATTGGGTATACAATTCAGTTATGGTGTTGCCGAGTAAAAAATATAAAACGGACTATACAGAAAATTCCTATCGGTAAGAATGACAGCCATGAAATTTCAGAATTTTAACTCGGAATACTCTTTATCCAAATTTAGCAGAATAATTTTCTTATTTTCTTTGATTTTATACTGCTTTTTTTAAATATAAAATTTGCAAATCCTTTCCATAAAATAATTTTACCATTCTTATAACAATTTCCAATCATACGGAAATATTTCGTGATACTAAAAAACGATTAATCTAAAACCCGTGTACTTTTAATCATATTTTCAAAATAATATTTTTTCCAATTGACCTAATTACACTGAATTTTTATTTCGTTTGATCACCTTCGTAACAAATTTCTTTTGCTGATGTTTTCAATTCCTAAAATATTTAAAATATTTAATATTTTCTACCTTTCCTTGGCCAAAGAAAAAACGAATGCAATTTTTTTGAAATTTTGAAATTTAAATAAAATCCAAACAGATTGTAAATATTCCATTTTTTTTAAAGCAAAATTGCAGATTTTCCTTTGAACTGTAGATTTTATTAAAATATTTTCATTTTATAAATAAGCTTGCTCCATCTCGCATCCTTCTTTTCGGAATACAAACTAAAACTCGTAACTATTTCTTTTTATTACTTTATATTCCGGTTGCTATATGCAATATGCAACGAATTCGTTGCCACAATAACGAAACATACACACATAAACATGCAGTGCTCACATGAAATTGACAATAAGAAATTTACAATATGGCGACTTTGGCAACTATCGATGCATATCTAAGAATTCACTGGGCGAAACGGAGGGTTCCATACGTGTTTATGGTGAGTAAAAATGCAACTGAGTCTCTACATTTACATACATATTTAAAGATATATATACATAGTTAATAGTCTGTTGGAATGCAGGAGGGAGAGAAAATGAAAAATTCTTATTTATTTAAATATAGTATATAAACTGAAAAGTGTTTCATCTTAATTGAGACTTGGTTCTTTTGTTCACAGTATCGAATTTGTATAAGCGAGTGGACAATAGCAATGTATTTTTTGTTCAACTGAGTTATTCATGGTTATTTCAGATGTGTTTAGTATTATATAATGGTAGTCTGAGAGAAACAACACAATCGACAGCAATTGACGATCGCTTAAAAATAAGACTTTGCCCATTTTGAAACTTTTTAAAAGTCACCACAACTTTTTGTAGAATTTTCGGTAACCAACCCAGTTTACCAGATTCTCGGACTCTTTATTTTCAACCTTTTCAGCTTGTCTCTTTTTCTTTCTGCAAATGTGTCTCGTTTCTCTCGTTACCTAGCGAAATATTTTCCATTTTAAAAACGAAAGGTAATAAGATAGATTGTCTTTCTTTCAATCTTAATTTTATCAGCCATTTATCGAAAATTTATAATTTGAAGACTTTCTTCTTTGATGTGGGGACTCTTTCATATTTTCTGCGTCAAATTGGTTCTTCTTTACCTGGTGCCTTCCATCTGGAGCCTCGCCCTTTTCCTCTTCATCCACCACTGCACGTAGTACTTTCAAGACTGTTGGCTTTTTATCTACTCAAATGACATGGACTTAGATAGTGTAGCCGTTTTCTTTTAATTGTGGGTACGGAGCTTAAAACTGTCTGACATTTCACTGACTTTTGTCAAGTGAAAGTTGGGTAGAAATATGCTTAGCTATTTGCAGGGATTTTTTTGATTTTATTTAATCTGAATTATAATACATATGTTTTTTTTAATTACAGAAATTCCACTGCCTTCAACGCCCTCAAAACAAGTCACACATACAACTATCGAAACGAGGGAAAGTGAGTTTGTTTTAACATTATGTTGTTAGCTAATTGTTTTTTTTTTAACTATAAATGCAAATAAACAAGATTATATTAAATTTAATGTTTATTTTTATTAAATTTTAAAAAAAAATTTAATTTTTTCTCGCTTTCTCACACACATTTCTTAGATAACATCATACCCACACGAAATGACTCAATTAATACACTGCAAAAGGATATCTCGCTAATGAAAGCTGATCTACTGGGTAGTGGCTCATCCTCGGCCTCGTCCTCGCACTCAGCTACCGCATCTATATCGGGCATAAACGGCAATGGCATGTCGGCGTTGGGTGGCGCAGGCATAAATGCTGTCGATCGCAAAGGTACGCTGGCCATTGGTAAGAGTATGTATTATACAGAACAACCACCGAAGGAGTTGGATGGCTCGGCTGGTGAGTTATAACTCAATATTATTATATATTAATATTTTTGATTTCAATAATTATGTTATTAGTGGCAGTTGGGTCAAGGTTTTGTTAAAATATTTATTTTAATTTTCCTACTAAAAATCTTTAAAATTACCTGCATCAAAATGTTTTAATAAAACATTATTTATTTTACCTTTTTTCTTTTTTTATTCTTCAAAATCTCGCAGCTGGTACCCTACACAAATCACCGAATATTTTCTATTTATGTCGGTTTGCGTTAATATTTTTATTGTTAAGAAATCAATCATAAAACATATAAATTATTAAGTGGGTATAAAGTAATGCACTTAGTTATATATAAAGAATGCAAAATATAGAACTGTAAAATAAAATATTACTATAAGGAGTGAATTAATTGCAAGCCTGTTAATGTGTTGAAAATAATATTAAATAATATTTTATAAAAAAAGCTCAATACGCACTAGTCAGGATGACACTACTTTAAAATTATTTTAAAAACTGCAAATTAATACTTTTTGCTTCTTACCTTCATTCCTAAATGGTATTAAGCTGCATTATTAGGAAAAAATTTTGAGTAATTTATCAATTTATAATTTGAATTAAATATTTTTAACATTTTTAATTATACTTCAATCCCTCATTTAGACATTTCTTATGAATATTTAAATATTTCTGTGTATTAATGCTGAATTATTTGAAAAAAAAAAATTATGCTAATGCTCATACGAGGGAATTAACAAAAGTTCGGCAAGTTGACCCGAAAAAATTTATTTTTGTATATATTCGTAATCTTTGTCTCTTTTAATCTTTTCTACATAGTCGCCATTGATATCAAAGCATTTTTTAAGCCTTTAGATCTTCTTCTGAAAACCGTCTTCATAATCTTGCTTTTTAAGCTTATCAAGTTCAGCATCAACTGCATTAATTATCTCCTCGTTGCTTTTAAAGACCTTTCCTTTTAAACTTTTTTTTATTTATGGTTAGTAGCGTCGCAAATCCACTTTCTTCCCGTTTTCCAACGAATTTTTAAAAAATTGTAGGAAAGACTCTACGTTGCACCATTTTGCAGTGACCGTCTGATCCTTTTCCAGTGGAATAGCAGCTACTATTTTAGATCGGTTGAAGTAAACTAACTTCATTACTTTTGCTGTTGATTTTGGTTGCTTTGATTTTACGGATGGGCTTGTTCCTGTTGGGTTCCATACCGCGGACTGCTTTTTTTCTGCATCGTTTTTATAGGACCAAGATTTGTCGCCATAACCACTTTACTAAAATTGTTAAACAGACCATTTTCTAATTGTTTTAAAGAAAAATTGAGCAAAATGCACTCAAGCCTCTCTTTGACCCTCATTTAAAATTCGTGATACCCATCGAGTAAATTTCTTCGTACATCTCAGATGATTACTTAATGTTCGCGATATAAATATGGAATTCAAGCCTAATTCATTAGCAATCATTTCTTGTGTCAGTCGTGGGTCTTCGTCAAATCGGGGCTCATCCTCTAACGGTGCAATCGTTTTATATACAATACGACGTTCACTATAAATTTGTATTGGCTGTAAATTACGCCGAAACTCGTTGAATTGGTGGTGGAATTTTGTCTGACCCATCCTCTACTATCTTGCGTTTTCTGTTTTAGCTGATCGTTCCAAAATTTGGAAGGAAGATTAATAAAGTAATTGCAGAGGATTTGGAGCTTTTGTGAACCCCTTGTATATGTAGATTTTAAATTAGCGCCTAGTATTGTAGCGTCTTTGTAAGTGAGGCTTGAAATATAGATATATATGTATAAGTATTTATAAATAAGTTACATGCATTTATGTGTTAAATGTTTAAAATAATTAGCAGTTTATATAAAAAACAACAGAAATATATATACATCAATATGCATATATACATATATGAAGTTAGACATAAAAATAAGTATTAGTCAAGCGATTTGCGAGAATTTATTTGGCAATCAAATTTCAGTATTTGAGTAGGTAGGTAATGTGTTAAATATATTATAAACCAGTTTAAGTACTTGTAAAATAAATAACTAAATGTATAGTAAAAGTAAAAAATATAAAAAAAATATTTTGTTTTATAGTATTGTAGTATATTTTTTGAAAAAAAAAAAAAAAAAATTATTTACGTTAAGCTAAAAGGATTAAAATATATTAATTGTTTTAAATTATTGATATATGTATATTGAAATTTTTTACTGAATTTCATATCATTGAAATTGACTAGGTCATTACTATTTGCAAAAATATTAACAATAGTAGTGATTTTTTTGCATAAAAAATTATTTTACTTCTCACCAAAAACTAATTTCACAAATTATTCTAATTATTTTTCCGATTATTATCATTTCTTTGATACTTGAACTATTAATTAAAGTATCACTAACGTGCTTGTCATGTTGAACACAATTGTAAATAACTATATATAGATATGTCAAATGTAAATAAATTCTAGCGCTTAGGTAAATAAAATAAATTATGATATTAAAATCGCTACGCTGCAATCAACAATACAAAATTAAGCATTTAAAACAATTAGCAGATGTACAGTAATATTAATACGTACCATAATACGCAAAAGTGCATAGCAAAAAATGGAAATACGATGAAAACAGCAAAAAACAAATAAAATAAAATAATTACAAAAAAAAAAAGAAATTATTTATTGAAATTATTAAAGCAAATTGAGGTTAATAAGTAATTTGTGTATGCAAATAAATACCACATAAGCGATAAATCAGTTATGCAATGTAGATAAAAGCACAATACAATAAAATAGTAAGAGTAGAAAGTGGCATGAACAAGTGATTTGCATTTGTGAAGAAAAAAAATTTATGAAAAAATAAGAAAAATATATAAAAAAAAGTTTTATTTGTTTTACAATAGAAATTCACACATATTTTCATATATATCGTCCGAAAGAAGTAGTGTTAAAGACACAAAATTCGAACTCAACAGAAAAAAACCAAAAAAAAAAAACAAAAAAATGTGAGAAATTTCGTTTGCACTGCAGTTAAATCTCTAATTTTGTATAATGAGATTTGATCTCTCGATTATTAAGTTAAAGGTTTTAATTTAATTAAACAATGAAAGGTGAATTTCTGCAGAGTGTCCACGTACAACTCATGAACGATATGTATTTATGTGTGCTTCTACACGATCGAACTTAAAATAATAGTTTATGTGAAGTGAAAATAGTGAAAATGTAAAATTTTCTTTGTGTTCTTAAAAATTTTACGAGAAGTTTCTTTTTGAAATATTGCTTCCTTCTTTAATTACAACACAAACAAATACTCTTAAAAATCATAAATGTTATGCAGTTTATAAAAAACATTCCAAATAATAGTTGCATTCTTGTGTAAAAAGTGTATAATAGCTTAATTAATATTAATATCACTAAAATGTATATTGCTTTAATAGAAACAACAAATAATCTCACACTAAAAAACACAAATATTATAAATTAATATGTAACCGTGTTAGATGCGCTTAAAGAGAGAGTTAAATTACTATCATTGACACATCTCGGTTATATAAATTATAAAATCATATATTTCCATAAATTTGGCAGTATTTATTTATTATTTGAGATGCAAAAAAACAAACTTAATTCAACAATTTTTGTGTTTATTATCTAAGTATTAATTGCATTTAAAAAATGTTAACGACTACAGAGCTATTTTATAGAAATTATATATTTTCATATTTTACATATAAAAATTTTAATGATAATTAATTTTTATTGTACTCCACAAAATTATAAGCAAGTTTTAATTTCTATATATTTTTTTATTGCAAGTAAGTTTTTTTAATATTATAAAAATTCAACAAAATAATGGTACTTGCCAATTAATGCATTGTAAAGAAATACAAATACAACAAATATGATTAACGTATTTGAATATAAATAGCTCATTTTGTGGTGATTAAAATGCATTTTTTTTGCATTAAGTATTATATTATAAATTGAGACAGTATATAATAATTAGTTTAAGTTTCATTGGTTTAAACACAAGTCTTCTTCTGATTTTAAACAAATTTTATATAATTTTGTTATAGTTAAATTGATTTAGTTTTAAAATTATTTATTCTTCATGTTATTGTTATTAGTTTTACGATTATTATTGCTTTTATTTGTTTAAATAATTTTTAAAAGAATTATCTTTATAATTTTTTTTTATATATTTTTTTATATTTTCTGTATATCAGTCATTTGTACCATTCAATGCATACTTTCTGTTATACTAAGTTCCTAGGGACATAGTTAAAGCTTTATACAGAGCAATGAAAGAAAAGAAAAATTACAATTGAAACATTTTTAAACCTGAACAAATTGTATGTACTTTTTCGGAAATTTTGGAAATTGTGTAAAAATTACTTTTATTGTACTAAATATGAATTTCCTTATTTTATTTTCTATATACAATAATAAATGAATGCAAAAAGTTATCAAATATATATTATATTAAAACTGAACTGAAAAGTAAAATATTTATTAAATTGCAGAATAATTAATAAAATCTGTAAAAAAAATTAAGGTACATATATAGTATACATATATATGCATGTAACTAAAATATATTCTCGTGCTTCAACTGAATAGAATTATTTAATAATAAAACTAGTAATTAACGTACATATATAGAACATAAAAAATATATTATAAATATGTAAACTGGATAATAAGATTTAATATGAAAATAAAAAAATGCTAAGTTTAGATTGAATATGTTAATATGAAAAAAAAGAAATGAAATTATATTAATGAAATTGAACCGATGTAAATGAAGGCTAAATAAAAAATATTAAAACGAACCAAAGTGCATTTTTGGATTAATTATAGTAGAAAAAGTGTGAATTAACAGGTGAGTGGCTAGATATTTGTGCTTCATGCAAATTAGCTGATAAATATAATATAAAAATTTAAAATAACTCGTTTCATTTAGTTTGAGCCTACTGGACGTATACGTAACTTTCTATATAATATGTGTTATAACAATTTAAACTTTAATTTCTTTAAGCCACACCACTTGTTTAGCATAATTAAAATAAAAATCAATTTCATACAAATTAAATTCCCTTGCCCACATTTTATTGGGTAGGGCAACAAAATGGGATCCATGAATAGTGCACTCGAAGTAAAGTATTTTGAAATGCTTTGCATTTGTAGCGAAAAAAACAGAAAATAGTAAATAAATAGCCACACCTTTTATTAAAAAAGCGAAGAGCGGCTAAAACGTATCAATTTGCGCTGAAGCTTTTTGTGGAAGAAGCATCTAAAAGGTTCTCTTACATGCCATATAAATATTTTAACCACCTGGCGTATGCATACACAGTACAATATACATTTTATTACATTCATTAATACATAGACATCTATGATATACAATACATAGTACACTTGTATATATATAATTGACACTTTGTAACCGTTGAAGCAATTTTCGGCCGAGCTTCTCCTCCAGTTTGTGATTTTTGCGTTTTGATGTTTTCCCAACAAATGGAGGGGCATACAGTTTGTACTAAACCGTTTTCGAACGCTTATTTGTATTAAATTTCTAAAACATTTAGATGTTGGTCACACCAGGATTTGAACTT